TACATATGTATATATATATGTGTGTGTGTGTGTGTGTGTATAATCATATTTTTACTGAATGGAACGTAAACATGTTTAAGAATTATCATTTAATCTTCACAGTGTAAAAAGTTAAAATTATCTGTCACATAATAAGTTTATTTTGATATAAACTAATGTGTGTGTGTGTGTGTGTGTGTGTGTGTGTGTGTTTACATGTGAACCTGAATGTGTGATGTCATGTGATCAGTTTATTGAACTCATGAACCTGTGTGCGTATTATAGTTTGTACATGTGACAGCATCACTGATAATAATCAATAATCTATAATCAATCTGTACTTTAATCTGATAGGACCTGTGACTACAGAGAGTATTATTCTATACTGTCACTGCAGAGTAATCAGAGTATTAACACGTCCACTCAGCAGGAACAGAAACACAGAAGAAGAAGAAAAGATGGAGATGTTTAGTTTGTTCAAACCTTCTGATGCTGACGATCCTCCACCCTTACTCCTTCCTCCTCCTCTTCTTCTCCTTTCTTCTTCTTCGTCCTCTCCTTCCTACTCCTTTTCTTGGTCTTCTTCACTGCTTTTTACTCTGCTTTCCTCCACGACTCTCTGTATTCCTCCTCCTCTTCCTACTCCTCCTCTTCAGTCGGAGTTCATTCCAGACTGACGACGAATGGAAACCAACAGACAGACTGACTCACAGCAAGCGCCAACGTCTGTTTTCAATCTGTTGCCCCCCCCCCCCCCGACAGGAAGTGAACCCCATCCAACACACACACACACACACACACACACAGAGGTCTTTCTGTGAGGTTTCCACTGGTGCGAGCTGATTAAATAAAGTGCTCTGTGTGTGTGTGTGTGTGTGTGTGTGTGTGTGTGTGCTGAATCGATCAGTAATAAATCAGGATCAATAAGTGATTTAAAGTCTGAGCGTCTGTTTGTGATGCTCTGATGATTACTGATGATGTCATCACAGGTTTTATCTCCTGTCCAATCAGATGTTTCTTTTTTCTCTTCAACACAGGCTGAAGCTTTGTGCCACGGCTCTGGCTAAGCCTGATACATCGAGCTGAACTCCGGTTTCCGTTCCATCAACCTGAGCCACAGCTCCGTTCCATCAAGGTGGTTAACCTGAATCCCAGCCTAGTAACCATGGTAACTTATGATGGTCTGTAGCAGGATTAAGGTGAGGATTAGCTCCATCTATGATCAGCAGACAGACACCTAAAAGACAGCTCTGCCAGAGCTTTACACACTCACAACTGTCAGGATCAAATAATATGTAAATCATAAAATATAAAACATCATTAATCAAAAAACACTGACTATTAATACACAAATTAAAATGTAATAAAAATAAGATAATTAAAAAAACACAACAGGAAAGCCAATCAGTTGTTGGTTCAACAGGTTGGGACCTACTGTGTGGTCTTCCGGCCTGACTGCCTCCTCAGGCCTTGGTAGAACTGGAGGATCCAGAAGATTAATTTGTGCCCTACCACTGACAGAAAGACAGGTGGAGAGCTAGTTATACCAACTGAGGGGCATTGATGGACAATACCTTCAACATATGGGGCCCAGATCTCTGGGGCCACAGGGTTGGAGGAGCTCCCCCCCTGCATCCCATTGATTTTGGGCCCCTTATTGAGACTGAGGGCCAGGGTCTCTGCTGGAGTAAACTCTTCAGGTGGGGGTCCCCCACCAGCAGCCATCATGTCTGTTCTTTTCCTGGTAGCTGCAAAGCACAGAGTCACAGCTTTACACCTGTACTGACTGATACTTTTCAGTTTGGAGCTGTTGCCATTCAACAAGATGTTCTTATGTCTTATGTTGACCTGCTGCCAAGTCCTCCTCTGGCTACTGAGCCTGCTTCTGTTGAGACACCACAGTGAAGGATGAAGATGGGACACACACCACTGAGGTCTGTCTGTTCCTCATCCTATAGCACACTCCATACATTTAAGAGGATTTTCCTTATTTTGATATAATAAGAGATAGAGCTCACAGTTGACTCCCACATGATGAGAAATAGATCATTGATTCACTCTCACCTGCATTCACTTAATAGTTTTCCTCATCTCCACTGAACTGATGGATTTGCTAAATGTCATTTTCTACAATCAATAGATCAGTGTCTTGTGATTATTTCCTATAAACTGATCATTTCAGAAATGTCATAATCTACAATCAATTATGTGATAAATATGATGACTGACATAAAATAGTTTGATTAAATGCATCATCTGAACTTTACATAGGAATCAGTAGATAAATGTGATAAACAGTCTGTCACTAATATTAATTTACACATGTGGTTAATTTCATTAGGCAGACTTGAACTGTCAGATTTAATAGGTGTTCTTATCTACATATATTTTGTCCCTTTGATGCAGGATTTATAGAACATGATATTATGCTGACATGCTGAATTTTCTTTGTCACTTACACATTTAGCCTGTCAGCAATATTCCGTCATGCCACCTGCCTTGCTTTATTAATCTGCAGTATTGCCTTTGTTCCTAATCATGTCCTTATAGTCCTCATACACTTCCATAAGGAGCGTTTGCTCCGCCACAGAAAAAGCCTGTGTTCGCTCCTTTCCTTTGCTTTTTGACACTCTGCAACATGTTCGGCACTCGACTAGTGTGAGCTGAGGCTTAACAGGTGAGGCTTGAATTAGCATCAGTTGGAGCCAGCTGATTTCACTTGATGGAACGGGTTGGAGTTAGATTGGGAGGTGGTGTTTAGACAAACTTCAAGATGACACCTTAGTCTGGATATTCTTAGCTACGCTGATGGAATACCCCCCTGGTCAGATCTGAGTGTGTGTTGACACAGTCTCAGTCAAAGTGTGTGTGTGTGTGTGTGTCTCCTGGTCTGTTTCCTGTTGTCCTGCAGGTGCTGGTGGGCGGAGTGAATAACTGTGATTGGGAACAGACCTGGCCAGGATCACTCTGATCCAGGATCACTCTGATCCAGGATCACTCTGATCCACGATCATACTTTAAGGACTGTTACAGCCTCCATACAAACAGAAACATAACCCGGCTCAGTCGGGGCAGCAGGCTGCAACATAGAAGAGAGGACGCCACACCAAAGGTAAGAGTTTACCCACCAGCTTTATGGTCTCATCTCCCAAAACATTAAACAAAGACACAAACAAACTAAAGGAAACAAAAAGGACTGTAGACCCCGACCACAAGCAACAACAGGAGGGAAGACACTGGGCCAACCATGCAGTGGGACGTCGCTCCCAGAGTCTCCTCCGGAACGACCTGAGACATGAATCAAAACCAAAGAAAACAAGAGATGAATAACGTCACTACCAACAATCTGCAGCCCAAACTACCAC